TAGAGCAGTCCCTCACCTAGAGCCCTTGAAAATCCGGCCTGCTCCTGTCGTCCGTCTTTGGCTTTCCGGAGCCTCACGCCCCTGTGGATCTCCCGCAGGAGCTCGTTGTGGGCGAGGGGCTTCTCCTCCGATTCATACACGAACTGCCGGTGGAGCGAAAAGGAGTGAGTGAGGGAGCGAAAGAGCGTGGGTGGGTGGGTGGGTGAGTGAGTGTGTTAGTGAGTTAGTGAGTTCTTGGGTGGGTGGGTGGGTGTGTGGTGGGTTAGTGAGTGAGTGGGTGGATGGGTGGTGAGTGAGTGAGTGAGTGAGTGGGGTGAGTGAGTGAGTGAAGCTGAGTGAATAGTTGTATGTGTAGTTGGGAGTGGTGTTAGTGAGCTGAGGTGGACTGTTATGGCTTGCTGATGCGTACTCTAGTGAGTGAGATTAGTGCGTTCTATCAGTGAGTATCATTGACGTCTTGGGGTGGGTGGGTGGGTTAAGTGAGTGAGTGAGTGAGTGAGGAGTGGGTGAGTGGGTGAGTGAGTGAGTGAGTGAAGTAGGTGAGTGAGTGATTGAATGAGTGAGTTGAGTGAAGTGAATGAAGTGAGTGAGTTTGGTTCTGAAATATGGAGTTTTAAAGATGAAAATGGCAATAACTTTGAAGGGAAAGAGAACAATGAAAGATAATAGATCGTATACGACAGATACATACATCCGTATATATATAATAAATAATATTATATATATATATATTTATATATATATATATATAATATATATATATGTATATATATATATATATTCATAGAAGTAAACCATGTACACTATCTATCTACTTTTTATCTTCTATCTATTTATCTGTCTATACATCTACCTATGAATCTATATCTAAATTTGTCTATTTGTATCTGCACATGACTAACTAATTTTATATCTATATTGTCTATCTATCTTCATCTACTTATCTATCTCCGTCTATACTCATCTATATCTATATATTTATCTATTCATCTATATATTATCTATCTATCCATCAGTCTATCTTTTCTATAAATCAAAGTAAAAACACACTTGAAAACAAGAAACACATTAAAACCTAAAGTTGTAACACAATGAAAATTAAATGTTATAATCATATCAGAGAATTAAATGCGGTTTATGATTATGAATAACTGATATCATGAAACATTACTACAACGAACAAAAATCCTATAAGTAAATATCGTCAAAATTAAGACAACAACAAGTAGTCCAATATAAACGAATACAGCAGAATAAAAATAAATATCAGCAGAAAATAATAACACAATAGCATATGCTAAATTCTTAATATAAAAATAACATTGAAGAGCACTTGGACAAAATGGCATTATCTAAATCTTCATCAAATAATAATAATGATGGTGACGATAAATGATAATGATAATGATTGATGATGTGGTGATGATTAATGACGATGGTGATGGTGGATTGATGATGATAATGATATGATGATTTTGATGATGATATGATAATGGTGGTGATGACGGTGATGGTGATGATGATGATGGTGATGATAATGATGGCTGATGATGGCGATGATGACTGATGCTGATGGTGGTGATGATAATGATGATTGATGATGGTGATGATGATGCTAATGATAATGATGATCCTGTTAACAAAACAACAATAATAATAAATTAACAAGTACATAAACAAACTAGAATCGTTCAGAGAGCGCATACCTCCGCCAAGGCAATGGGGTCACTAATGCAATAAAGATATTCACACTTGAAGCATTACATTAAAAATAATCTCTTTCTCAAGTGCACTAGTGACGTCCGTGTTTCCAGAACTCGCAATGGCAATGAATCCTTAAAAAAAAAATCCTGGATTGGGATTTTAATGGCATCTAAATCTGGCTAAGAGACGCCTCTCGTAAACATTTCATAAAAAAAATCTGACGTTTTGAGTCCTCCTGCTCAGCAACTAAACCCACAAACAAACAACTAACCGATGCTACAGGAAACAAACCACAAGGCGGAGGTCAATAGATAAGGAAAAAAAAAACTAAAACGAACTGGGTGAGGTCACGAAAGCGTTCTTAAAAGAAACTGGGTGAGGTAGAAACGGTTCTCTAAACGAACTGGGTGGTGTAGAAGGTTCTCTAAACGAAACTGGGTGAGGTCAGGGAAAGGTTCTCTAAACGTAACTGTGGTGAGGTCACGAAAGCCGTGTCTGCTAAACGAACTGGGTGGAGGTCAACGAAAAAGGTTCTCTAAACGAACTGGGTGAGGTCTTAGTGAAAGGTTCTCTATATAGTATCTGGGGAGTCACGCTAAAGGTTCTTTAAAAACGAAACTGGTGAGGTCACGAACGGTTCTCTAAAACGACTGGGTGAGGTCACGAAAAGGTTTCTCTAAACGAACTGGGTGAGGTCACGAAAGGTTCTCTAAACAGAACTGGCGTGAGGTCACGAAAAGGTTTCTAAGAACTGGGTGAGGTACGACAGTTCTCTAAAACGAACCTTGGGTGAGGTCACGTGAAAGGTTTTAAGACTGGGTGAGGTCACGAAAGGTTCTCTAAAACGAACTGGGTGAGGTCACGAAAAGGTTCTCTAAACGAACTGGGTGAAGGTCACGAAAGGTTTCTCTAAAACGACTGGGTGAGTCAGGAAAAAGGTTCTCTAAACGAACCTTGGGGTGAGGTCACGAAAGGTATCTCTAAACGAACTGGGTGAGGTCAGGAAAAGGTTCTGCTAAACGAACTGGGTGAGGTCACGAAAGGTTCTTAAACCGAACTGGGTGAAGGTCAACAAAGGTTCTCTAAAGAATGGGTGAGGTCACGAAAGGTCTCTAAACGAACTTGGGTGAGGTCACGAAAGGTTTCTCCTAAACGAAACTGGGTGAGGTCAGGAAAGGTTCTCGAAACGAACTGGGTGGAGGTCACGAAAGGTTCTATAAACGAACTGGGTGAGGTCACGAAAAGGTTTCTCTAAAACGAAACTGGGTGAGGTCACGAAAGGTTCTCTAAACGAATGGGTGAGGTCACGAAAGGTTCTCTACAACGAATTGGGTGAGGTCAGAAAAGTTCTCTAAACGAAACTGGGTGAGGTCAACGAAAGGTTTCTCTAAACGAAACTGTGAGGTCCAGGAAAGTTCTCCTAAACGAATCTGGGTGAAGGTCGACGAAAGGTTTCTCTAAATCGAACTGGGTGAGGTCAGGAAAGGTTCTCTAACGAACTGGGTGAGGTCAGGAAAAGGTTCTCTAATCGAACTGCGGTGAGGTCAGGAAAGGTTCTCTAAATGATTCTGGGTGAAGGTCAGGAAAAGGTTCTCTAAAGAACTGGGTGAGGTCAAGGAAAAAGGTTCTCAAACGAACTGGTGAAGGTCAGGAAAGGTTCTCTAAACGAACGGGTGAAGGTCAGGAAAAGGTTCTCTAAACGAACTGGGTGAGGTCACGAAAGGTTTCTCTCTAATCGACTGGGTGAGGTCAGGAAAGGTTCTCTAAAACGAACTGGGTGAGGTCAGGAAAAAGGTTCTCTAAACGAACTGGGTGAGGTCACGGAAAGGTTCTCGAAACGAAACTGGGTGAGGTACGAAAAGGTTCCACGTAAACGAACTGGGGTGAGGTCACGAAAAAGGTTCTCTAAACGAACTGGGTGAGGTCACGAAAAGGTTCTCTAAAACGAACTGGGTGAGGTCACGAAAGGTTCTCTAAACGAACTGGGTGAGGTCACGAAAGGTTCTCTAAAACGAACTGGGGTGAGGTCACGAAAGGTTCTCTAAAGCGAACTGGGTGAGGTCAGGGAAAGGTTCTCTAAACGAACTGGGGTGAGGTCACGAAAGGTTTCTCTAAACGAACTGGGTGAGGTCAGGCAAGGTTCTACTAAACGAACTGGGTGAGGGTCACGAAAGGTTCTCTAAAAACGAAACTGGGTGAGGTCACGAAAAAGGTTCTCTAAAACGAACTGGGTGAGGTCACGAAAGGTTCCTCCTAAACGAACTGGGTGAGGTCACGAAAGTTCTCTAAACGAACTGGGTGAGGTCACGAAAGGTTCTCTAAACGAACTGGGTGAGGTCACGAAAGGTTCTCTAAAACGAACTGGGTGAGGTCACGAAAGGTTCTCTAAACGAAACTGGGTGAGGTCAGGAAAGGTTCTCTAAACGAACTGGGTGAGGTCACGAAAAGGTTCTCTAAACGAACTGGGGTGAAGGTCAGGAAAGGTTCTCTAAACGAAACTGGGTGAGGGTCAGGGAAAGGTTCTCTAAACGAACTGGGTGAGGTCAGGAAGGTTCCTCTAAACGAACTGGGTGAGGTTCACGAAAAGGTCTCTAAAGCGAACTGGGTGAGGTCAGGAAAGGTTCTCTAAAGAACATAGGTGAGGTCACGAAAAAGGTTCTCTAAAACGAACTGGGGTGAGGTCAGGAAGGTTCTCTAAACGAACCTGGGTGAGGTCACGAAAGGAATCTTCTAAAAAAAACGAAACTGGGGAGGTCTACGAAAGGTTTCTCTAACGAACTGGTGAGGTTCACGAAGGTTCTTCTAAAACGAAACTGGGTGAGGTCCAGGAAAGGTTCTCTAAACGAACTGGTGAGGTCACGAAAAGGTTCTCTAAACGAACTGGGTGAGGTCAGGAAAAGGTTCTCTAAACGAACTGGGTGAGGTCACGAAAGGTTCTCTAAACGAACTGGGTGAGGTCACGAAAAGGTTCTTCTAAACGAACTGGGTGATGGTCAAGGAAAGGTTCTCTAAAACGAACTGGGTGAGGTCACAAAAGGTTCTCTAAACGAACTGGGTGAGGTCACGGAAGGTTTCTCTAAAACGAACTGGGTGAAGGTCACGAAAGGTTCTCTAAACGAACTGGGTGAGGTCAGGAAAAAGGTTCTCTAAAGCGAACTGGGGTGAGGTCACGAAAGGTTCTCTAAACGAACTGGGTGAGGTCAGGAAAGGTTCTGAAAAGGGGAACAAGATTCACAGCTGACGCACCTTCCCTCCTTTGCCGCGGGACGAAGGCAAGATGGGCTTGGACCTGTCCGTTTTCTCGAAGGGGGACAAGTGTTTGAGTTTGACGCCGCCCTGCAAGCCAAAAAAAAGGAATAAGAAAATGCATAATCAATAGATGAATATATATAGATTTGCACGTTTTGGTGACGTTCTTTTGACCTGAAACGTATCTGAATTAATGATGTTCTATTCGATTTAAAGTCAAAGTGAGATGTTCTTTGAATGTTTGATAATACGACTGAAATTTCGAAAGGTCAACAAGCATCGAAAACCCTAAACCAAAAAAACATACAACAAAGCTCACAAACCACGCTTCACCATCGCCACGATCACCCTCACAAAACATCCCCCTCCAAAGGGTCTGGTCTCCCTCACCTCAATGTTCTTCAGCAAGGTGTTCCAATCCGGCCTGGTCCTCGCCGCCCGCTTGATCTGGTCCAGCTTGAACTTTTTGGCCTCCGAGATCTTCTTCTCGCCGGGTACCATTCGGGCATCGGCGGGGCGGGGGTGGGGGCATCCCGGCATGGGTGGGGGGGAGGCGGGGGGACGACGCCGGCATTGGGGGAGCTTCGGGGACTGCTGGACTCTGTTTTTTTATATAGGAGGAGGGGGAAGAGAAGGGAGAGGGAGGAGGGAGAAGGGAGAGGGAGAGGGAGAGGGAGAGGGAGAGGGAGAGAGAGAGAGAGAGAGAGGGAGAGAGAGAGAGAGAGAAAGAGAGAGAAGAGAGAGAAGAGAAGAGAGAGAGAGAGAGAGAGAGAGAGAGAGAGAGAGAGAGAGAGAGAGAGAAAGAAAGAAAGAGAAAGAAAACAAAGAAAGAAACAAAGAAAGAGAGAGAGAGAGAGAGAGAGGTGGAAGGAGAGATAAGGTAAAAGCATCAGTAACAATCAATAACAATAAATATGTATATATATCCATATCCATTTTCCCATTGACTTATCCTAAATAATGCTAGTCATTTGTCTACCCTTCTCACATGAATTTCTTTGTATTAAACAGCAAATTGATGGTGTATTAAAAAAAAAAAAAAAAAAAAACTATTTATCATCGTTTCTTTCTTGAAGACTCTCTCTACTAGTCCTTTATCATTTTTAGTACTCATCAGTCGAAAATTTGGCACATGACTATTCCCTGGCTGAGAAAAAACAGCATCTTGGGTTGAAACATTAAATTAATCAACTTCCATCGACAAAATACCAATGAGACACTTGAAGGAAAGCTACACAGACGAAAGGCGATCAAACCCTACCTCGGCGGTGGTACCATCTTGGTCCCACCATAAAGAATTCTCGTCCATTTCATCCTGTAAGTAGAGTTACTTAAAAAAAAAAGAGGATCCAACACCATTTTTCTTGTTAGTTGTTGGATAATGGGTTCAGGTTCTGAGAAACCCTGAGGGGGAGGGGGGGGGGGAATCGTGATTCTAGCCGCAACCAACACTTTTCATGGCGTGATTTGGCTCCTGGGTAGAATTACGATCATCGTAGGTTAGGAATAGCAATTGGCTTCTGACTTTTGCAATAGAGTTATGCTGTGGCGCAATTTTGTGAGTCTTTTTAATAGCTCCGTTATCGCAAACCGTTTCAGAAGATTGTGTAAGTGAAAATAAATGATAAATTTCATGAGAAACAAACGCAATACTGGATGCGTGATTGGCGATAACTGATCTAATGTATTCATTTGATCATAATTTTGGTTCTTCTGTAATATAAGTAGCGTTAAGTAACACATAAATATATATACAAATATAATCATAAATTAATAGCTACTATATGACATTTTCCCACTTCTGGAAAATAATCATATGCATAATTGGTCATCCGCAAAACATGTTACATACTCAATCAATATTTACTTTTCTTGCAACAAAAAGCGAAATATGAAGTGGTTTCCATGCTCTGTGTAACATTCGAGGGGTTTACCTTGTCAGTGAGAGTAAGTACATGCAAGCTGTAGCGCCCGGAGAACATACATGCAGCATGCGGTTTTTTGTTGTTTTTTTTTCACTTTGGGCTTACTTTTTTAGGGGGGGCTGGTGGTGGTGGTGGTGGGGGCGCAGTCGCCTTCTGTAAGGATATTATGATCATCACTGTTATTATTTTCTTATTCTTCAGCGAGAATTGTACCTCTGAGGCGCGCAGGGAACCAAGGGACAGCCATGGCGGAAATAAAAAAAACATGCATTTTTTCTATAAGGGTTTCACATCCACATTTCCATGATATTCGGAAACAACATGCAGCAGCTTCGTGATTCTTTGGTGGTCGAGGGTTCTCACAAATTCATATAAAAACAACAAATCCAGCAGATGTACGAAGGAGAAAGAGAAAGAAAATTCGAGATGGAAGATGTTCTCTAAGGACAGCGACTCGGGAGAACAACCGACCGTCTGCGGCAAGAAGGAGAAGAGGCACAATATAAGGAAATAAAAGGGATTTCATCAACTATGTTTTCGGAAGATCTGGATGGCGTGCAGGGCAGTCCGGGATATGCTGGCGCTGTGAACAGTAGGGAGAAATGCGTGACAAGAAAGATAAAATAGAGAGGGAGCAAGAAAAAGAACGAGAGAAATGTGGCGAGAGAAGGATTTGAAGAAAAAAAAACAGGTGCAAGCATACAAATAATGAGATATATTTTTTCATTCGAGGGGGGGTGGGGTAGGCGGGGTAGGGCACGAAGGGGGGGCACTCAACACCGCCACATACCGTTGGCTCTGACGTGTCACCCGCCGCCCACCACGGGGTAGCATGTCGCGCCTGTGTGACACCGAAACAACATGTCATTTACAGCAAGGAGGGAAAAAAAAGACATTAAACACATAATATTGACCCAATATGATATAACACTGGAAGATAGGGTCGGTTTTCCCTCTTCTCTCACCTTCTCCCGCAACTTGGTGATGCTGACCGTGCAGGGCTCAGCGCGCTGCGGGGAAGACACGAGTCGTTAGTTGTGGTTATGCCAAGAAAGACCTTTTCTTTTTTTTGGTCACGATGGTCGCTGACACTAATTTTTTCACAGAATTCATTTCAGAAACAAGTGATATATATCTATACGTATGCGTACGTAAGCATAAACGCACACACACACACACACACACGCAATCACACAAAAGCAATGCTCTCTGGACGGGCTTAATCATCCGACACAACAATGCGTCCCGGGGAGAGAGAAGGACCCCGGGAAATAAATCTGATTGGGCAAGCAAGGAGGGAAGGCAAACTCGCTCCGGTGCTTGAATATGCAACGAGGTATCGTGGAAGGCACCGGCGGGGGGGGGGGGGGGCGGTGCATGCAAGGACCTGAGAGCAGATAACTAGGGTGGGCGGGTGGGGGGGGGGTGCATGCAAGGACCTGAGAGACAGATAACTTGGGTGGAACTGATTTTGCAATCCGGTGTGGAAGGAAAAAGGGCGAAGAGAGGGAGAGAGAGAGAGAGAGAGAGAGAGAGAGAGAGAGAGAGAGAGAGAGAGAGAGAGAGAGAGAGAGAGAGAGAGAGGAGAGAAGAGAGAGAGAGAGAGAGAGAGAGAGAGAGAGAGAGAGAGAGAGAGAGAGGAGAGAGAGAGAGAGAGAGAGAGAGAGAGAGAGAGAGAGAGAGAGAGAGAGAGAGAGAGAGAGAGAGAGAGAGAGAGAGAGAGAGAGAGAGAGAGAGAAGAGAGAGAGAGAGAGAGAGAGAAGAGAGAGAAGAGAGAGAGAGAGAGAGAGAGAGAGAGAGAGAGAGAGAGAGAGAGAGAAGAGAGAGAGAGAGAGAGAGAGAGAGAGGAGAGAGAGAGAGAGAGAGAGAGAGAGAGAGAGAGAGAGAGAGAGAGAGAGAAGAGAGAGAGAGAGAGAGAGAGAGAGAGAGAGAGAG